AAAAGTTTTAAAAACAGGGAGCTGTTCAGGGAGAGTGATCAGGAAGGGCCTCTCTGAAGAGGTGACAGTTAAGCTGAGACTTGAGTGACACAAGGAACCAGCTGTGTGAAGAACTAGGGAGAAAATTCCAAGCAGAAGGAATAACTGGTGCAAAGGCCACCAAGCTAGGAACAAGCTTGGTATATTCAAAGAACAGACAGAAGACCAGCATGGCAGGAGTGCAGCAGGCAAGGGCCTCCCACTGGAGGTGGAGATGCCAGCAGAGGGCTGGGTGAGGGTAGATGGTGCAGGTTAACAGTTTGGATTTAATTTTGTGATGGGAAGCTATTGCTTTGAAGCATGGCCCTGTTTTATGGCAGAAACTGATCACTCTCAGTTCTGCTCTGATGACCCAGGCCCTGGGCATAACTCTTAGGTCATGTTGGGGCAAGGCATTTTCTGAGCTTGTAATCAACCATCCTAGCTCTTTAAGGCAGCTGTTCAGTGGAAGGAGCCCAGGTTTCATAGTAAAGTGGGATGTAACCACTTGGAGGCTGGTAACAGTGACTTAAAATAGGAGTTATTTTAATAAGGTAAGAGTTTATCTTTACCTCACCCATAACATGAAATCTGGAGGTGAGCAGTCCAGGGCTGGGATGGCAGCTTCTTTTAAGTTTCTGCTCTGCCATCTTTAGCATGGCCAGGACTCATGGGTGTATGATCTTTGCAATTTCTCAGAAGGCCCCAGCATTTGATTTAATGTTGCCATTTCAATATTCTTTTTGAACAAGAGGCCCTTCAAATTATATAACTAGCCAAGAATGTCATAACTATCCTCAAGGTTGCCTCAGGGTCATAAAGGGGATGCTAGAGCTCCTGCCATCACATCACATTCTGGGCAGGAAGGAGGAGGAAAGGCAGAAAGAGCAATAGGGTGCTTGTCAGCTAAGTAAGCCCCTTTTAAAGAGCTTCCCCCATCCTCTACCTTAGTGAATTCTGCCAGCATGTCACTGACCATCCTTATCTGCAAAGGAGCCTGAGAAATGTAGCTTTTAGTTGAACACATTGTCCAACAGTCTTGTTTTTAAGGAAGAAAGTCTACAAAGAGGCATCCTACCTATCTTGCTGGGCTATTGTGAAGATTACATGAAATAATGTATATAAGGTACCTAGCACCCAGAAGATACTTATATTAACCCAAGCAAGTTCTCTTTCTCTGCCATATCTGAGATCCTCTGGGATTCCAGGCTTCTTGTTCCTGGGATTGGTGGAATGGAGGATGTTACCTGTGGGGTGTTGAAATTGGTGTGAACTTTCAGTCTAAAGTCCAGAAATCACTGTTACCACTTAAATTCAACACACAACCACCTACTTAATTCATGTCTCTGCCCAAGGGTCTGACCAGGGCAGTCCTGGAAGGGCTGGCAGATTCAGCTCTTGGCATGGCTGAATGAGGTCTAGGAACCTCAGAGGCCTGTTTCCACGTTGGCAAAATGAAGAAGTAATCACAACTTCACTGACTCGTTCACTCATTCCAGCATTTTTCTTGTGTGAGGCCCCAAGTTAGGGGCCAAGGATCCAGAGGCAGACAGGATCTGGACCCTCTTATATGAACCCCCTCCCATAGGGCAGACAGACTGGTACACATTTATGAACTATGCCGTGGGCAGCTGTGAATATCTTTACAGGGGGCTCTGTGACACAGTGCATGTGCCCATTCTGGGGAGAAAGACTTCAAAGTAACCTTAGTTCTGAGTACAGGTAGTTCTCCAGGCCAGTGTGGTCCCAGATGGCAGCAGCAGCATGTTAGGACCTTGCTGGAAACCCAAATCCTCAGGTCCACTCAGACCCACCAAATCAGAATCGATGTGATTCTGACATTCAAGTTTGAGCACCTCTGGCCATGATAAAATCATTATACACTGGAGGACCGCTACTGTAATTAGAGAAAGCTTTTCTGAGGGAAGAACACCCAACTGGTTCAAGGGATATTAATCCTTATGGAGGAAGGCGCACAAGCCACTGATGCAGGTCTACGAAGTTGAGGTTTTATGAGCCCTGAATGCCACTGCTAAATGCCGAGACCAAGCCGTTTTCCTGCCTGATGCTCTGCAGTGAGGAGGCACGTGTGTGCCTGTCTTGGTGGAAGCACTCTGTCCCAGTCAGAACCATGGAGCCACTAACAAAACGGCCATAATCTTCAGATGTTGTGCCACCGACCCAAGAGACCTGCGCACACTTTTCGCCTCCTCTGCCTTAGGGCAGAGCGTTAAGCCCTTCAGTTTGGTAGATCCCAACTCAGGGTGGCTCCAAAGCCCAGCAAACAGGCTGGGAAATGACTTCATCCATTTCTGTGTCTCCCCTTTTAGGTGGTTTTCCTCCTCTGCGCCTATGTCACAGTATACATGATCTATGGGAAATTTTGGAAAACGTTTGACAGTGACAATGACACATTCCGCTTGGAGTTTCTTCTGGTCCCAGTCATTGGCCTCTCCTTCCTTGAAAACTACAACTTCACTGTTCTGGAGGTAAGGGAAGGGTCCCAGATCACTAATTCTCAAAGGTAAACATCCTTCCCTCCAGACCGTTGGTAATGCCTGGGCTTGCTCTCGACTACAATCGTCAACTATTACTCATACTGTTAAGAAACCAGCAATTAGCTATTCCCACTGCTGCACTGGAAAATGGGCCCATCTGAACAGCCATGTTCAGAGCAGGTATCACAGCACCTCCTGAGATCCGTCCAACTGGTCTGACTGGGGCAGCCTACTGTCAACATGGCACGTCTGGGGTGTGGCCCAAGCTGCATGGCAGCAGTCATCACAGGAGGGTCTGCCGGGTTCACGGACTGTTTGGAGAAACCATGGCTTCAATTAAGGCGTTTATACAAAGCTCAGCAAGAAGTAAAAATCATATCCTGTAGAAATGTTCACGGAATGTTGTAAAAATTGCCCTTTGCTTAGATCCCTTAAAAATAATTTGTACTATATATTGATACATTGGTTAAGTATTAGCAATTTCAAGAACATGAATTCTTGAAACGGGGGCCTTCCTCCTCAACCTCCTCTGGCCACTTCTCTCTTTGGCTCAGATCCTCTGGACTTTCTCTATCTACCTGGAATCTGTGGCCATCCTGCCTCAACTCTTCATGATCAGCAAGACTGGAGAGGCTGAGACCATTACTACTCACTACCTGTTTTTCCTTGGGCTGTACCGTGCACTCTACCTGGCTAACTGGATCAGGCGGTACCAGACTGAGAATTTCTATGACCAAATTGCTGTGGTGTCTGGAGTAGTACAAACCATCTTCTACTGTGACTTCTTCTACTTGTATGTGACCAAAGGTAGGTGCTAGGAGGGCAGGGTTGCTGGCATTGGCATCACCCATTCGGGACTTGAGGGGATATGGAAGTGAGCAAGTCTGTCCTTCACGGGGCTTACACTCTAACTGGTGGAAGGCATGTTTTCAGGAAACGTGTCATTACGTATTGTGCAAACACCATGTACGGAGAACAGCTGAGATGACACCGGACATACTTGCTTAGGAAAATAAACATTCAAGAGAGAACAAGCTTATGTATAACCTCCAAGGTCTTTACCAGCTCCCTGTAATAAAGGACAGAAAGACTACTTAGTGTGGTCTCACCTGGAGCTACCAGAGGCCAAGCAAGACACCACAGACCATGGTGAGGGGTTTGCATTGCATTACAACTGACGGCAGCTATTGGAGCAGTTATTTTAAAAAATCTTCCAGCCCCTCATAAAGAGCAGGGAATAGCAGTTATGGGGCAGCTGTTGTTCAAGGAGGTCATCAGTGACCAAGTGGCCAACAGATCTCAGAGGGGAATTAAGAGGGGGTGCTGACGTGCAATGTGGGTAGAGGACTTAAGGCCAAGCACTGTTTAATGGCCTATCTAAAAGAGCCTATCTATTCTTACACATCAGTAATCAAAATGGGGGGGTCTGTGAGTCTATAGTTAACCTTTTAAGTTTTTCCCTTGGCTTTTACCTGAATGCTGACTGTGAACTGGGCATTAGAGATACTAAGATTGTATACAAAGTTATAAAGGAGTCCTTTAATCACTATAGTAAATCTGATTTCATCTCCACTTCTAGTTCTGAAAGGAAAGAAGTTAAGTCTTCCGATGCCTATTTGAGGGCCCTCAGAGGAACTCTACACCTTAACAAGGACACATTTGAAATGTTCTCTGGGGCGACTTACAACAGACCAAATATTACAATTAAAGCCAGAAAAATGCTTAGTGTGAATTTCAGCGCAGCACTGTTCATCCTATCTACAAGACCTCATCAGTGTCTCTCTGAGGTTATGAAATGCCTGGACCAATTACACAACTACGGTGCTTCATGATGTCTACTGGGTCACGAAACCTTAGGTATTTACTTCCTGACTGGGTCAAATAAACCATTGCTTTCTGAGGCCTCAGTGCGAGACTCATGCTAAGAACAGTCAATTCCACTCTAAAAAGATACCCCTCTGTGTATAAGGCAAACACCCCAAGTGAGTATCAGTCCAATTACTGGAGTATGCTCTTACAAATGATTTTCACTACCCATGTTGCACAAGTTTAGGGAGTTGATACAAAGGTAATACAGCCTACAGATGAGAAATGTTCACTTCTAAAGCTGTCCAAACACAAGTAAACCACATTTCCCAGCTTTGGCCAGATTTAAAGTTTTGTGCCTCACCTCTGAAGCTGATGTGAGCCTCGTGCTGGTTCACAGTACCCCCAACACTCAGTACTCTAATCCTCATAACCGTAGCTGGGCACCATTAGTGTTACAGCCATGTCACTGATGAGAAAACACACACCTAAGATTTTTACCTACTAGGTATTGTCTTGTTGCTCCTGACTCAAATTGCTGGCATTTTAAGGCCAATCCCACCTCCCTTTCACATTTTTAGGTGCTAAGTAACTAAAGCAATCCACATCCTCAACCTTGATCTTGATGCAAATACTGTTAAGACTAGCAGAATTTTTAAGCAATAAAAAGTTCACACCTTATTGTCAACAGTGTTTTATTTATACCTACAAAAGAAAACAAGATGGTATCAAAAGGACAATTTACAAACTAAGAATAGTAACATAGCTCTTAGCGTCCTGTGCCTGAACATCACACAGATCTTTCAAGTCTTAATGCAACAGGAATGTGTTCAGAGACCAGCAAGAACATGAGGAAGAAAGCACTGATCCCAAGCAAAAGCCACCAACCTTTTAGATGAGAGAAGTCCACACAGTGAATTATTAAGGAGGGACTGGGGAGAAGCAGCCCCATTGCTTATGCTGAAATCCTTCCCCTAAATGAGTTCCAACCATGACAGCAGTAACTAGCATCAGATGAGGACTCTTCTGCCCATGCAAAGGCAGAACCTGAATTATGAGTGACAAACACAGAGGCAGCAGTTACTCTAGAGCTATCCTGGAAAACCTTCGCTAGATTTCAGCTGTGCTCAGGCCACAACAGCTTTTGAGATTTGGAATAATACACTATTATTTTGACTTCATGATCACAACATCCCTGGTGGAAAAGGGAAGCAAGCAACAGGCCAAATACCACTTGCTTACGCAGAGACCTTTCCTGCAAAGGATGCTTTTAAAACCTGCAGGAGAGTAGGACACACCCTGTGGTGGCACCTGTTTAAAAAAAAAAACAAAAAAACACCTATAGATTTCTTGTGTAGAAAGAAGTATCTACAATGGACTGCTTAGTACTTACACACATTTTTGAGGGGTGGGGGGTGGGGTAGGGTGGGCAGTGGGACACTTTGGTTTGAAAGCACAGTTTTGCCATGTTTTTCCTGTGCCTACCCATCCTCCCTCAGCCTCAACCTCTGTTAAGAAGTGGAAAAAGAAAGTTAAGGAAGGAGAAAGTGGGGGGAAAAAAACATGTCAAAGTTCTTATATGCATATACAGTTCCACTTATGCTGATAACCTACCTGTAAGCTGCACACTCAACCATACTTTCAGAACCCCTCAGAAACAACCCCTTTTCTCCCCCTGAACAATTTTATAAGGAAAAAAATCTCAAGTATTTAGATCTTATAAACCAGCAAGCACTCTTGGGCCTCAGCCAAAGAACACAATGGAGTCTTCCCCTGTTGATTACATTGCAAATCAACAGTAACAATAACAGCACAGAAAAAGTAACAGTTCCATACTGGATATGGAAGAGGTTTTTGCTGGGTGGTCTAATCTCCCTGTCCTGTTACGGTGAATAAAAGGGCAGAAAATTCTTTTCCAGGCCTACATGTTATAGGCAATCTCAGGAAAATAGTATCACTTAACACCTACCTTCAGATGGAGGAAAGGTACAAGGACTTAGGCTTTAGTCCTCCAATAACTTTCTTAAGCGCTACCTACCTTTAAAAAGCTGAGTGCAAAAGGATCCGAGGAAACTCGGCACCCAAAAGCTGTTACAAAGCACTGCAGAGAACAGAGTATCAAGAGGATGAGTTCTTAATGAACCCTTAATATTCTTTATTCAAGATAATTTGGCCAAAAGGGCTTAGTGGCAAACATTTTAATTCTAGCTCTACAGATACTGAGTTTAAAAAGAAAATTTACCCATTGAGTATATTGTTTATAATTAAAGGTGGTTTTTAGTTTTTACACTGCAGGTGAATGTATACTTCACTGATAATAAAGTAAATTTCCAGAGAGCATTTACGTTCACTCTGTTCACAGCAGCTGTCTGGTTGCAAAATTAATTTCACAGATGGTCCCTGGTTATTTGGGGAAGAAAAATGGGCAGCTTCCACCCAGATGCTGAGATGCTACATTTAACCATTGCAATAAACACGTGGAGTTTTTAATTTGAAAGATACACTAAATAAACTCAGACTCAGCAATTCCTAACCTGACACTAAAATGGTTATTTTTCAGTAACTGGGAAGGAGGAAGGCAGAGCTTAAGGGAGACAAAACCAATTGGGATTAACTGTCAAACTCACTTAAGTACTCAGCCAAAAAAACAATGGCGAAGCACTGTCTTAAGAACTCATCAGGCCCGAGAAACCCGTTCCAGCCTGAGAAACACTGAAGAAGCACTATGGAAAATGTGTTGGGAACTCCCTTCTTGGCTTCCTAACCCAGTAATGAGAGATTTATAAGCACAGATGCCATCTCTGCAGAATTCAACCCCTCTACCCTTCCCCCACCCCCCAACTCAGGACAAAAATTGGGCTCCCACCAAAGGGCCTAATACCTTACTTTTTCTTTGAAGATGAAAAATAGCTCAAATATCCTCAACATGCAACAAGTTGGGGAAAAAATTCTTCCAGTCGGCTATATATATATTTTTACAAAATCTTGTTATTACAGACTGGATCATTTTGGCGGGCAGAAGAAACCTGGCAGTGAATTCTAACTAATCTGCATAAAAGACAAATCACAATGGTTGGGGACAAAAGTAAAAAAGGAAAAGAAAGAAATGGGGAAGAAAAAAAATGGAAAGACAGCGTTCCTTTAAATGTAGTTAAGTCTGCACAAGTCACTACCACTTGAGTGGTTTCATTTACGAGAAGGGGGAGGGGGAGGCGGAGGGGGTGGGTACTGGTAGGCAGTCTGCCCCATATAGCCTATCATATTGGTAGCTCCCGGAGGCTGTGCAAACTGTTGTGACATCAGTGGCTGTGGCTGCTGCCCAGATCGGCCTATCCCACTAAACTGCTGGCTAGAGCTCTGTGAACTTCTCCCAGTTGAGGTGGTGCTACTAGCCCCATAAGTGCCAGCGCCATATTCTTGGGCTGTATAGCCACTGGTGCCATAAGCAGCTGCCCCATAGGTGCCTTGACCATAGGTGTATTGGCCTGCTTGTGCTCCAAAGGCAGAATTTGGACTTCCATAGCCACTGCCGTTAGCATAACTGGCTCGATCGGTTTCACCACGATCCCGATAGCTTGCAGAGTCTCTCCGGCCACCATCCTTAACTCCTCGAAGCCTCCGATCACACTCATCCTGATACATTAGATTGGGGTTGTTGGCTGAAGAAGTGGTCCGGTAACGAGAACGACCTCCTGATGGGAGGATACGAGGAATTTTTAATGCCAGATTAACATAATACAAACAATAACCATGCACAAAAATTCTACTGGGTACAAAAATATTCAACATTCTTTCTTGATCTTTTAAGCCAGCCTCCAAATCATTACTTTAAAAATACACCCAGAATTTGGTTCTTTAACAGGACTTACTCAAAAGAATTGTAAACATTAAAGGATATTCAACTTTTTCACCCTTTTAGGTCCCTTTATTTGAGGAACACACTTAAAAATATAAGAACAATGGTAAAGAAGTTTAGGCAACTTACCATACATACATAGGCTGAAAAAAAAGGGGGATGCAAGCAGCTAATAAATAGGTAAGTCCACACCACCGTGAGGGGATCCTCTCCTAGTGCACAGTGGTTCTCATGTGTTGGCTTTGTAGACCTAACTACATCAAAATTATCTCACAAGCTTTAGGTAAAGTTGTTCAGATTCTTAGCTCAATTCCAAACACACCTTTATTTTAAAAATTTTGGTTTTTTAGAAACCTCTCAAGGTAATTCTGATGTAGAGCTTCAACATGCAGTAAGTCGGAGAAAAAAATAATACCAAAGTGGTAGTCAGGAAACCCAGATCCTAGTATATTTTGCAACTACCCAATTTTAAAATCTAATTACTAATGTTTCTATTACCATAAAATGGTGTTAAAATTACTAATCTCTCCATATAAAGAACAGAAAACATACTGCACTAAGGTCTTTGAAGGTATTAGAAGCAACCAAATTTAGCTTAATGGTGAATATGAACCATGTACTTCAAAATACAAAGGTCAGTTTTGTATCTATAGAAAAACTGTGCTGCAAAAGCAGGATACATGACAAGTCCCCAAACATCGCACTGTCTTACTTAGAAGAGATTACACAAAACTATTAAAAACTGTACTTGTTATTAAGCAACAAGCCTTCAAAGGAATTAGAAAAACAAGGCACAAAGAACACAAAAAGATACCTTGGCAGTACCTGGAAAACTCCAGGACTTACCCTTACCCCCTCCTCCGCCGCCTCCTCTGTGGTCCACCAGCTGCATCAGTTTTGGGTTGATAGCCTGATTAGCCTCTTCTAGCACTTTGATCAACTCTCTGGCCTGCTTTAGGTTCCCTGGTGTGAAGAAGGTGTAGGCAGTGCCCTTGTTGGTGCTACGGGCTGTTCGGCCAATACGGTGCACATAATCCTCTGAGCTGTTTGGATAGTCATAGTTGATCACAAACTTGACATCTTCCACATCTTCCAAGCCAACGATGAGTCAGTGTGTAGGTTGGGGTGGCAGGGAGAAGGTAAAGGACATGCCAACAGCAGGTGGGAAGCACGAATGCAGACGACAGCAAGAGGAAAGAAGATTAAGTTAGTAAACACCCTGAAAAGGAACAAAAAGAGACTCATCCCAACAGAGTAAAAGAGGATTAATGATTCTTGGCACATGCACAGAAGTGGCATCTTTACCAACTGTAAATTCCTAGGGGAATCCCCCTTCAACCATCCAAACTCCTGCTCTTCTGTATTTTCACCAATAAGCTGACAGGAATTGTACCAAATTAAAGTTCCATCCTTTCCAAAGCTGGACTGTAGAATAAAGTGGTACCACTATTAAGTAACAAGGCCAAACCACTTCTACTCTGTTGGGAGAAGCCTGGCAAAATCTACCAGTAATGTAACAAACTTACCTTTAAACCAGTCACAGAGCAAAATGAAAAAAGAAACTTCATATACTTTATTACTACATTAAAAAAAATGTTTAGATCATAAAAAAATTTTTGCTCTTATATTTTATAAAAAACTGATCACAGCCAAAGGACACACCTATTTTCCTTTGCAGAAATATTCAAACGATCTTCCCCCATTCCATCACCACAAGAGCACATTACACTAAAATTTCACTGTGCTACCAAGCCCAGCTCTGCCAAATGAAGTTTTTTTTCTTCTCAACTCAAGGTTATTTCAACTCAGTACTTGCTTCAATTATCAAAGATTGTCTACATAACTTGGGAAATTAAATAGCCAGAGTGTGGGAAAAACCATGAAACCTTGAGACACAAGTTTAATGTTCTGTCCACTGCTGGGAATTGGGCTGCATAACCTCCTAATGTTTATAAAGTATGTAAATGTTAGTGTAATGCTTTCAGCTAAATGTATATTTTTACCTACTTAAACAAACAAATTTAATATAACAAAGAATCCTAATGTTTTGTGGAAAAAAATCTGCATTTTACAAAGAATATTCAGAAAATATCCTAGATAAAACACAGATTTTTGTGATATAAATAATTAAAAAACATTCTCTGTTTGTTACCAGACCGATGCACACTCCCTCCTCCTTTGGGAAACCGCTGCAGCCGATCCCGTCTCTTTGCCTTTTATTTTTGGCGGCCTCCTTTCGAAAACTCCGCCTTCTGACACGGGACCACTGGAGCGCGGGGAGCATGCATCAAGGGTCCGTGGCAGTGAGAAGTCCCCACACACGCTCGCTCTGTGAACTGGCTTAGATGCTTCTCTGTAGCCCCATTTGGTTGCCAAGCGCCGGAGAACCTGGGTTCGGGTAAAAATTTCAGGTCCTCCAACGCCTCCCCCAAGGATAATTGGGGTGATTGTAGAAAAAAATAATTAATAAAAAAAAATGTAAGTTACATCCAAAGGGTCAGACTGCATCTATTGCCCAGACTGGATTAATTTCAGGGGGGAAGGGGAGATGATAAAAAAAAAAAAAAATTCAGCTGTTGTTAAAGGGCCTGCAAAGAAAGGGGCATTATGTCTGTTTCTTATTACAATAAAGGCTCCTCAGTCGTTACTGACCCCTAAAGTCCTGAAATCACACCAGAAAGACGAGAAGGCAGTTATCACAGGGGGCAGCGTGAGTCTCCGGCTAGGGTCGTTGATGAAAAGAAAGGAAAAACAAAAATTTATAGGGCCAGGAGGGATGAGAGGTGAGGGAATGGGAAATGACACTGCATAACCACATCTTCAGAGCTAAGATAATGCTCCTTAATCAGTCCCAGTGTGTATAACCATGGGCAGCAGAGCACACTGATTACTCTATAGGTTGCACAGACATGTGCTTTCCTAGCAGAAAGAACTGGGGATTGGAGTCAACCATTCAGATACAAATACTTAGGCAGGGGGATTATTTCTGGAGGGGTTCAATAGTGGGCAGACACAGTGCAAGTTCTTCATACTATAAAGGTGCCCTGTATGTGCACAAAGAGCTGGCTGCGTGCATGTAAGAGCAAGTGCAGAATTTGGTTTTCTCTAGGCAAGCCTGCTCTGGTGTTATTTGTGCACTGCCACAATATTATCTTGTTGCCTTTAGAGAAGATGCTGTAGCAGGGTAAGAAATCAAAAAAGTTAATGTTTTGGCCAGCTGCCTAGGGTAAGAGCCTTTTTTCTGACAAGCCTATGACATGGCCTGAATCTCCAAATCACTAATTGGAAGGGACTGAGACCAGCCAATATGCTCATCTAGAGCTGCTTCGGGCCAATGTAGATTTGCGTTGGCCATGTACTGAGTGAGCTGCAGCTGATATCAAAGCTTCTGTTAAAAAACAAAACAAAATAAATTCAATACTTTTATAGTTTAACAGCGTGTAAACAAAAAAAACAAAAACAAAAAAAAATTAAAAATATTCCAGTGGGAAGGGAATAGTGGTTTCCTTAGGAGGACTAATATAATATTATGGGAATCAAAGAACTTACCTGAAGGGAACATTTAAGAGGCCATCGCTCGACAGGAAGTGAAAAAAGGCCTGGTGACTCAGCTGAAAAGCGCACCCCTGTCTGTGAGGTAGAAGCCTTCACTTTCCAGGATCTTGTAGGACCTTGGTCAGCATTCTGCCATTTTGGTGGGTTTTCCCCCTCCTTTTGATTTTTATAAGGCAGCAAACAAAGGGGCCCAAAACAAGCACTGATGTTGAGTAACAAGAAACAGACTCAAGTTCCTTCCCTCTCCCCTCACTTGGGTAAGTGGGGGTGGGATGAAGAGTCTAAGTTATTCTAATGGTAGCCAATTGATTTGGTTTAGAAATGCAGGGGAGATGGGACAAATATTTTTAAATGTCTAGGCAAGATGCACAAAGAAGCTACCAGCACATAGCAAGCCTGTTTAAAAACCATCGTCACTGAAAGCTTTTATGTAAACTGCTTTCAGGGCTCAGCCTCTTCTCCCCAACAGGCCCAAGTTCTAACCGCACAGATCCAGACATGACCTCAGAGGGCAGAGACAATTTTCAGTCATGGCTGCAGGTCACCACCTCTGAAGGAGGGAATGATGAGTGCAATGTATAAAGACTTCATTACTTTTGTACTTCAGCTTGAATTTTTGTTCTCTCTGTTAGGTATTACAAGGGAGTATGGTATTTCTTGCCTTATTGGGCAAGAAATTAAGTACCTGTCAGTAATTTAAAGATTATCTTTGTATTAGAAATAATCTCATCTTTTTTTTAATACACAAGTTTTGAGTTACACCTGTTTTAGCTCAGAATAATGGGATCAAGAACCACAAAATATTTCTATGTATCTTAAATCCTAATGGGTCAAAAACTCCAAAAGAACATCAGTTTCAACTTAAGTTCTTAAACTGGAAGACAGCACACTGATAATATGAGTGGGAGGAAGGGACAACTGAGGTCCCATGACAATTTTACTTCAGTGAATAAAATTGGGCAATGAGGATCTAACTGCTGAACAGTATCGTATTTATAGCCTTACTAAATCCCATAGTATGTTAGCACTGATGGAACTGGACACCTGCACCTATCTAGCACAGACAGACTGGTAAAAGGAAAACAACACCCAACGAAATCAGCTTCTAACAGCTAGGCTCAACCAGGCTCATTCTATTTAGTCAGAAAAATAGAATAAACCCAGGATGAAGTTGAGCTGTTCAACTGAATGTCTCCTCTCCCTCTAACTCTTTGAAGAGTCATGCCTAGGCCTTGCTGCAGACCAAAGCCTGTTTGTTAGGAGCAGGAAGAGACTTTGAAAATAAAAAACAAAATACCAAGGTTAAAAAAAAAAGTGGGGGGAAAAAATCACGCTTGGCATTTTTCTTTTAAATATTTATCTAAACACATGTTTATACAACTCTAATTTGAAATGACAAATCTTTAAACCAAAAGATACATATACCATTGACAGAGACACCTATCTATACAAACCTAGCCCTCGGGAGGCTACATCTGTGGCAATGAGGATGGGAGCCTTTCCAGAACGGAACTCTGCAAAACAAGGATGGTGCCATAAAAGGCAAGTTACACAATCAAGCCTGAGCCTAAGTGACAGGTCTTCAAAAATGACCAAATAAACATTCCTAGTTATCTGGCCTTTCACCCTACCACACTAAAATTTCAAGTAATGGTGCAGAATATGCCAAGCTCTTTTAAATCTAAGGGAAATAGTAATTCTTTTGAAAACCTTTATTACACTCACCTTTAGCTGGGGAGTTAATTAGCAAAGTTACCTCTAATAATGAAGTACCATTAATAAGGAGTGGCAATTCGTAACAAAATTAACATGAGCTAGAATTTTTCCCCCTTAAATTATGACACCAAAGTTATCTCCCAAATGAAACAAAACCAAAGTGTGGGGTGGGACAAGTTTAAAAGATGAAACTTCACAGGAGAAACTATATTTTGCCCCTGTGAAATAATAGAAAAATATATATATTGGTATCTGCCCACAGTTTCTGGCACTGAGCATCTAAACCCTTAGAAGTAGGAAGGGCTGGAAGATTCTTTTATTCAATACTTAGTCTTTGACCCTGTTTCCTGACAGGAATACTCTGGGACTTCCTGGGTACAGGAGTGTCTTTGTATTGATGAGACACCTCTTAGTGGGATCCAGGACAAGCTCCTGGATAACAAAGCCATGATCAGAAGCTTGGAAGTTTCATCCTCATCTCATCCCCCATCCTCAGAGGGGTGAGGGGCTGGATGAGATAAAGACTGAGCACATGTGACAAAACCTCCATGAAAATACTGCAGGCTAAGGGTTTGAGAGCTCATGGGCTGGTAAATCTACCTATAAATACAAGACCTTACTAAATAAAGGAAGGGTGGTAAAAATTATGACAAAGCGTAATGGGCCAGTAACTGACCTTAAAGGGAAAAATGCCCATAATGCAACTAGAGCAGAGTGACGTAAACTCTGGTCTCTGGATCCAATCTGACACAATGCCTATTTTTCAAATAAAGTTTTACTGGAACAGAGCCAGGCCATTGTTTTACATACTGTCTATGGCCATTTTTGTGCTACAACATCAGAGTTGAACAGTTGTGACACAAACCACCATATGGTCTAAAAAGCAGGAAGTATTTACTACCTGTTCCTTTATAGAAAGTCTGAAATGGAGTATGGACAATGCTTAGTTTTGAACTCACCATTAAGTACCCAATCTCTTTCTGGTTGACTCTTGTCTCCATGGATACACATAGCTGGCCAACTGTCAGAAAAATGTGACCAACATTTTAGAAATCTTTAAAAAAGAAGGAAACTAAGCTTTAAAAATAAATGCTCTCATATGGAATTGTGAAGGTTTGTTAGGCTACATTAACTGATGACTGTGCCCAAGTAAATATAAAGTGTACCATAGGCATTACTGAAATATGTAGCATTCACCATACAAATTCAGAAATTCCTCCTGAACTATGTAAAACACGCTAATACCTCAATGCTGCACTCACCCATCTCTGCGCATCCTTCGAGTGAGGTCATCACAGCGTCTTTTTGTCTCTACAAATATTATTGTCTTATTTTCCTTTTCAGCCATTATTTCCTCCATCAGTTGGATCAACCTGAAAACAAGACCAATGGCAGTCATTCAGACTTTCCTATACTTTATGTGATGTATCATGTCTGCAATATCAACCCCAAAGCTATAGTACTTTCTTTTCATATTACTTTCTATACAACCAGTAATTATCAGAGCTGGGATTCAAATCTAAAGACCCACAATCCTTGCCTTTAACCACAATGCTCTGATGAATGATACAAAGGATGGACTGTTGGAAAGCTACCAATGTTTTTAATGTTTTCAGGCCTCAAAAAATACTGGTTTTTCTTAACACTAACTCTGGAGGATTATCAGAAAGGTTTACTAGTATTATCAAATGGGAATCTCTCATACTTGTGGTCTTTTTCACTTTCCATGCAGACATCCACAATCTGGAGGATGTTGTGGTTGGCACTCAACTCCAGATTGCCTACGTTGATCTGGGTGTAATCACGAAGGAAATCCTCTGCTAGCTGCCTTACTTCTTTTGGCCAGGTTGCACTCCACATCAAGGTCTGTCTATCAGGCTATTACGAAAGGAAAGGTTTTCTTTCAGGCAAAGAGACCATGACAGGCAAAGGGCATGAAGACAGCATATGATCAGTTTTACACACCCTGATTTGGTCAACAATTTTACGGATCTGGGGTTCAAAGCCCATATCAAGCATTCTGTCAGCCTCATCCAGCACAAGGTAAGTACATCGGCGCAGATTTGTCTTTCCAGATTCTAGGAAGTCTATCAGGCGTCCAGGAGTAGCTATACAGATTTCAACACCTGTAAAACAAAACCAATGATCTAGCCAACTAATAATAATTTATGCATTATCCAAACCTCAGCAAACCAAGCAATACCAGCTCTAGTGATTGTACTCAATGCTATAGAGCACAAGTTGAATTTTTAAAAAGTACTTGGAAAAGCATAATGCAAAGAGAATTCATATATAATCACCACATCTCCACAAAGTTCAAGTCTCAAATCATGTTGAATTTTCTAAAAATAGCATTTTAATTATACCTGAGAATTTCTAAGTTGCTGAAATAATGAATCTTTTCAGGAGAACCTATTATTTCCTTCTCAATTTCATTCACAGAAACTGGTAAGATGAGATAAATAATCCTTACGTGCTAAATTAAAAAAAAAAATTACCTCTCTCCAAGTCTCGAATCTGGGGACCTTTAGGAGCACCTCCATAAATGCAAGTACTCTTCAATCTAGAACATTTGCCATAGTCATCAGCCACCTGCTGTACTTGCTGGGCAAGCTCTCTGGTAGGAGCCAGAACTAGACACTGAAACAAACACACACTTAAGACACCTATCCCAAGTTTAAAAAAAAATAAAAAAAAAAAAAAAAGCAACCACAAAAAGGTAATCTAATTTTCTCTATTGTCTTATCTAGTACTTTCAAAGTACGCGAGGGGGTAGAGGGCTAGGAAGGGAGTCCAGGACAGCACAATGAAGCATGGCTCTATACTAGTTTAGCACGTGGCATGAAGAATTGCTTTTGACGTGATTCCTCATGGCTTATGTGTGCTTTTTAAGTGAATTTAGACATTTTATTACCTAGTTTTAACTAAACAACTCTCACAAAAAGAACAAGTGACTTTAAAATATCCCTGCAACAGAACTACAGATATTAGTAAACAGATGAACAGAAAAACTGCAGAGCTGACACTTTGATGCTTTCAAGTTTAAGCTCTTAGCCAGAAAAACTGCAGAGCTGACACTTTGATGCTTTCAAGTTTAAGCTCTTAGCCACGTTCATCAGGCAAAAATGACGACTTAATATAATGAGAAAAATTACCCAAAACAATACAAAATCAAGACACTTTGAAATGGGTATCACATCACTGTTAACAATGAATCTTGCTCTGTGTACTGATCCATTAGATACTAGCTAATGATAAAAACCTAACTCTACTGGCCATATTTGAAGACCACTTCTCAAATCTCACAGGAAATAGCTTAAGTGAAAGTAATCAAACTAGAAAACCATATAGCCCTGTTAGCATTTACAGAAGTATTATCTACAGAGAATACACACACCAAACCTGACTTCGATCCACAGGGCAGAGACCTCATTTCATACTACTTTTGCATCCCTCACAGCATCACTGAACGATTAAGAACTGCATTTGAATTAACTGCACAGTAAATGCCTAAACATGAAGGCAGTATGCATAGTGGTTAAGAGTAAGATTAGCTCAAATTCAAGCTTGCACTGTGTCTAAAATTTATCAGTAACATAGGGATACTCTCATTTCCAAATATGGGGTGAGGTTGAGAAGGAAATCTGAAAAGGCATTTCACATGTAAAACATAATGCCTGAAATCCAGTAACCATTAAATTGTAGTCATTAGATTTATAAACAAACTGAAACACACTTACTATTGGGCCATCTCCCCTTTCCAAGTATGGCTGGTGGTTAATATGAACAATTGCAGGCAACAAATACTGGGAAGAAAAAAGAAAGTCTTACATCAAAACTAAGCCATTATTTTAACAGCACTAAATTATCAAAATTGATAATGCATAACTAGGTAACTGAAAACAGAACTCACAACTGTTACACATGTGCAATTTAATCTGAACACAAAATGCTTCCATAGTTCAAATAGCTTTAAAAAAAAGAAAAAGGCTGAACCTATACTATCTGAATCAAGAAACTGGATTAATCAGAATAGTGACATAAATTATGTTAAAATTTTTCCTTTATTGGTACATACCGCCAATGTCTTCCCAGAGCCAGTCTGAGCAATGCCCACCATATCCCGGCCACTAAGAGCCAAAGGAAATCCCTGGCACTGAATTGGAGTTGGTTCTGTAAAGTGCTGATCCATCAATACATCCATTACATATTCTGTAAGGCAACTACTAAGAGCCAAAGGAAATCCCTGGCACTGAATTGGAGTTGGTTCTGTAAAGTGCTGATCCATCAATACATCCATTACATATTCTGTAAGGCAACAGATGTTACTGCTCTTAAGTAAAACTAGTGACACAGCAGAAAGAATTCTAAAAAGTTAAATTCATTGAAGGCAAATTCACCCAGTTTTACATCTCTCCAAGTGGTGGTGTTTTTTTACTGTATCTCTTGACCTACTGACTACTACACTTACCCTCAAAACTTGAAAACCACTGCCCTCAAGTATCTTAACACGGTATGAGCACAGCAGTCACTATTTGCTGCAATGCAAATTACAGTTGACCTCTGAACAATGTGGGGGTTAGGGATGCTGACCCCTGCCGCTGAAAATCCATGTAGAACTTTTTGACTTTCCAAGAACTTTACTAAGAGCCTACTGTCAACTGGGAACCTTAAAACCCGTAACATAAACAATTAATTAACACATATTTTCCATTATATATATCAAATACTATATTCACATAATAAAGCAAGCTACAGAAAGTTTTTTCAAATTGTCCCAAGTCTCCAGAAATATATTTCTAATATTTTACTGCAAAAACCCACACGTAAGTGGACCCATTCAGTTCAAACCTATGCTGTTTAAGGGTCAACTATATATGCAAACTAGAAATTAAGTTCATCTACTGTTTTCTAAAAGGTAGAGGTAAAACCCCTAGGAGATGAAAAACTCTGGGAGTGGGGTGCTTCTAAATAGGAGAATAGATAAGCATTAAAAAAACTTCCTACGCAATATAGCATTTACTTCTACCTTGAGGCTTAAAATTTTTTTTTTTTTACTTATGTAAAATAAATTACTACCTTTGTGAAAGGTTCCCACTTATCTTTTCAACAAAATCCTGAGCCTGGGTCAAATAATCTATTCCCCATGTTTACTATTTGACCAAAATTAACAGTTAAAATCCTGGATTGAAAAACACTTACGTGGGAAGTTAGCATGATGGAAAGCAAACACAGGTTTAGGACAAACATCCCCTCCTCTCACTGTAATCTCTTTCTTTCGGCGTAGTTCATCAACCTCATACTATGAGAGAAAACAAGGCAAACAAGTTATTCTAAACATGCAAAACTTTATGTTCTCATCCAACTGAGCAATCACCATCATCGAATCCACAATTACAATGGAAAATGTGTATAATTCTTATTGCACTTTCATATATACATTCCAGTTCACCCAACTTTGTGAATCAACAGAACAGGTATTAATAGTTCCCTTGATACTCAGAAACATTAATTCACCATGATCAGAACTAGGAAGAGGTAGAAAATGTGGAAATTAGGACTCAGTGCTGTTTTCATTGGTTTCTTCTGAACAAGTAAGCATTTCATGGTTAAGAGTCCAAAACAATCATAGGGAGTTTAAAAAGACAAACAGGAGTATATAATGCCAGTATCTCAAATTTATTAACTTCACAGATGAAAAGACTTCATTGCATAGTTAAAATCATAACAAACTGGTAAACATAACCAACAAATGAAAACCAAATATATTAGGTATGTATTTAAACTGGTTCCTCTTAGGACTATCAGCAGTCTTATTAAAAATCTTTTGGAAGTACCACCACACCAGAATAGAACTAACAGCAACAGCAGTATAGGAATAAACTCTGGCTAACACGTCAATTTGGTTCACTATGTATGAAAATGGTATATAAGTAATATCCCAAAATAACTTACTGGGGTCAGCCTTGCCACCTCTGGATGTTCCACATAAAAGTTCTTCTCAAACTTGGGGAGCTCACTCAAATCCCACTTCTTTTTGCGTAAACGCTCCCCAGGATTACCAAATTTCTTTGGGGGAAGGCCACCACCACCTCTTGCTCCAAATCTAGAAACATAAAATTTTTAGTTTATTAGTATTTTTAAAGCAATATACCTTAGGTGTATTTTATAAAAGCATGCAAAGGAAGAGACCCTTAGGATACCATCATCTTCCAAAGTATTTTATTACTCTTATTTGAAGGTATGGAGAAGTTTGTAAAACTTCCTTTTACTATCCAACAACAGTTACAATAGGTAATGAATTAAAATTCTTGTATTTAGAGAAATGTCATGGGGATTACAACCAGACTCTATAATCAGAAAAGACTTGAATTTTGATTCTGCCCCTTACTGTATGATTTTGAGCAAATATAACTTCTCCACACCTCATATAAAGTAGAAATACTACCACCACTTATTTCAGAAGTTGCTGTGAAGATGAGTGTCAAGTGCTTACATCAGTATCTGGCATAGTAAACACAATACAATATACCAGGTACCATTTTAAGTCGTGCTAGAGATTTATTAAAATATTGTAAAACACATCTATTCTTGTGTAATATTCAGACACATAAGTAAGTGAAAACATTAAAGCTTAAAGAGCAAGAGTGTGGGCAGGTAGAGAAATACAACTTAAAGCAAGTCAACCCATAGTTTTAAAACCCATAGTTTTAAAGCTTCTTGGACCCTTTATTCCTCTACAACAGGATGAGCACTGCTACTGTCTGTTAATCTGCTGAGAAAATGTATTAGGATCCCTTGAAGGCTGGTCGGGCAGTCTTCACCTTTATAGTTTATGATAATGAATAGCTAATACAAAGACTTCTTATTTTACCTTTTCTTCCTCTTCATCTCTCCCTTTCTGTTCCCAGGCAAATAGTACTATGAATTTACAAAGTCAAGGAAGAGGAACATTGCTATATGACAAAATAGACCTGTAAAAAATTACCCTTTCTGAGACACAAATACTATCATACAAATCTTAACATCAAAAATTTAAGAAACCATTAATAGTTTTATTTAGGGTATTAGAAACTCAGGGACTATTTAAAAACCAATCTTTTTGCTTTATCTAACTTTCACATCAGACAAGTTCAACTGAACTACAAATGGCCAACAGTGAAACTTGTGAAGTTTTACTTTTCCTAGCAGAATCCTAACACTAAGCGGTATTCATCTCCACACTACAACTTACTGTGTGGGGAACCGTTCATTACACAAATCGCATACATCATCACCCCATTTCCTTACTCCTGAAAACACTGTACTGAATTTCCCTTTACCGCTCTAACCCACTCAAAGCATCTTGCAGATGGTTTCACTTTGACCAACAATAGTTGCACTATTTTAAAGGGCCTCAATTTCCTTAAACGTTCTTAAGCATTCTTAAATTCTTCAGCTTAAAGACCCAGCTAAACATTTCTCTAAATACCAAGGTACAAAGACTGACATCAAGAAATTTTCTTGGGACCATTGAATATTTACATTCAATAGCCACAAGTCAGCTGACTCCATTTATACTACTGCTTAAGTGGTGAAATTAGACGTCAAAACATGAAAATCATATAGACTTATATATTAAAGAAAATGGCATCTTCAGCATGCCCTCTGGCCTGAAGTGCAATAATGAACAGACCAAAGACCACAATGGACCCCTCCTCATTTGTAAATGAAAGTACAAACAATTCTGAAAGAGTAGAAAAGCCAACCAAGTCTTTATAGATGTCAGCCTTGCAAAGAAAACTGGCCAAAGGCCGATTTTTAGAGAACAATTTATAGACCTAGTTTATATAAATTTATGTGGTTTCCAGAAGGTGCCATTTCAATGCTGCTGCATTCTAAAGCTTAAACTAATGATGTAGAAAATAGAACTTGTGTTAAGTTTCTTTTGAAGGTTTTCTTCAAAGTAATCCTTATTAAAACAAAAACTTATTCCTGTCTCCCTATTGCCTGGGCTATTTATCCAAGACACACTGTCCTGCACTAAAGATTATCTGAAACATGGGGTTCTTTAAAAATACGCTGCTTTCCACCTTCTTAATTAAATGCTGACTTAAATATTCTAAAGAACCTCTTACTTTTCTTGAAAAATTTTCAGCACATTCATGCCATCTTTTAAATATGCAAATTTCCTAATCCCTGGCATACTATGCTCTATGCTGCTCATTGTTTTTGTTAAAGCCAAAGTTTAATTTGGCCCAGCAATAAATGCAGCTTTTAAGACAATACATACTAACATGCAGACATGCTAGTTTAAATGTACAAGGCACACTTTTGTACTGTACATGCACATACACTGACCTCACTCATTCCCTTTTCAAAATACTAACCCATTTGGCTTAGTAAAATTCAGTTAAGAAAAAATATAAATTCAAATTATAATAGTTCATGGTAAAGGTAGAGTTGGGGCACAGACCTTATGAAAGAGTGCCATTTTGTTTGAAATGAGTAATTGTTAAAGTTAAAAAAAAATCTCAATTTGATAGTCAATATGGTATAAACTAGGGATGAATTAACTTTCTTTCCAAATAATTTTTATTAAGGCACATATACAGTGAAGTGGAATAGCAAACCAAACACCTACAGCAAGCAGAGTACTACCAGTACCTTGGTAAGCCTACATGTGCTACTTCAGAGCCCCTACCTTAGCTACTACCACGTCGAATTTTAACATTTCCCTTGCTTTTCCGTCTTGTCATATTTGTACTTACATGTTATCCTCCCACAACAGCTTGCTTTTCAGTCAACTTCTGTTGAGTCAACCATGTAAATTCCAGTTTTCTTTAGTGCTCTATTCTATTGTATAAATACCCACAATTTATTCAGACATGTGAACTATTTCCCATGCTGTGCCACAAACAATAATGATATAAACATTTTGTACGTGGATACTGGAATTCGTGTACAAGGGTTTCTCCAGGCCTTAGCAGGCAGTATGAAGCCTAAGACAATCACTGGGTCATTCAACTTTACTAGGAAATAAGCTTTTTCCCTAAGTGGTTGTACTGAAATTCACTTCTAAATTTAGCTATACTATGAAACAACTTGGCAAACGTTCACACTTGTAGCTCTCCAAATTTAATGCTAAGGCCAAATTATTTTCCTTCCTAACAGTATAAATCAATAATTCTTTTTATTTTGTAAAGTGATAATTGAGGTGCTGTGACTAGGTAGTTCTGGCACTTGTGGATTTGAACCACAAAAGACAAAACTGGTTGGAGAAATTATTACCAAAACACCTACTACAGAGAGAACTCAAGTACCTCAATTCCTGAGGACAATACAAATAAAGACTATCCCCATCTTTAAAACAGGCTCACAAAGGTTCACGAGCTTGCCCAAGGTCACCTATATACATTAATAAGTGGCGTCACATTACTTTTATCCAGATACACAACTTTTATTACAAAAAAGTAACAGCACAAGGAACATGCATCTCTTAAAACAATTTTCGTTTACCCATCGTTAAGATTTGAATCTCGGTATCTGGGAAGATTGCAGGTTTAATCCTGTAAGCTTCCAGCCCAGTAACCGTGGCATTACTACGTCATAAACTTTCTGGCTTTGCAGAGAAGTTAATGGTCACGGCCAATTAGGGAGGGGGGGAAAAACCCTACAAGAACGACAAACAAAAAAAACCCTCTTTCCCCAAACACGATCATTTAGACGGCAAGTCATTCCATTGCTTTACTTTCCAAGGTGCTTTCTTCGAGTTATTTTTAATAGGTAATTTAAAATGATTTAAAGGTATTTTAAAAACGAGAGGTCGGCCTCTGAGTCTCTAGTTTCAAACCAGGTTTCCAATTCCATTAAGTTATCTCTGGCGATAGATAACATAGGGAAGCCATTTCGCGTCAAGATTTTTCTAGATTGACCTCGGAGACCTCCTCCTCTTCTCTCAACAAGAACATCCGTGTTTTACAGATGAACGCTGAGGCCTAGAGAGATCAAATGACTGGACCAAATCGGCCGGGCTCGGAAGACGCGAAGCGAGGCGAAGCCCGGGCCGGGTCTGCGGCGGTCAGGCCGCGCCTCGACGGCCGTCCGAAAGGAGGGGCTGGGTGGTCGCCAGGCCGCCGCCCGCCTGCCAGGTCACCAGGGACCCGCGGGCCCAAGCCCACCGGAGGCCCGGGACCTACATCTCTTATGTGCCGGGTCACCGCGCCTCCAGGAGTCGGAAGCGCTGCTCCCAGGCCGGCAGTTCGCTCGGTCTCCGCAGAAAACGACCTCCCCCGACCCACGCACACCCGAGGCCTTTCCTCCCCTCCTCCCCCCTTACCCTCCACGGTCACGATCCCGGTCCCGGTCCCCAAAGCCGCCTCCGCGCATGGTCCCAAACGGATAGAGATCTGGGAGCGGAGCACGGATGGCCGGGCTCGGGAGGGCCTGCGGCTCCGGTCTGGTGACGACCGATGGCGGCGGCGCCTCCGCTGTTGGGGCGGCGGCAGGCGCGGCGCTCTCTCGCTCCGACGCGCTGTCTCCCGTCGCAGACGCCACCGTCGCCGCCTCTCTCGTCGGAGACGGTAGCAAAACACAGAGAATCGGGGATATAAAAACACTGGGTAGGTTTGGCTACGCGTAAACCCGGCAGTGCCGCGGTTTAAGCGTCTCCTTCCTTCCCAGAGACTGGACAAAATGGCGGCCGGCCCTGAGACTGCTCCAGCTTAACGCTACGTACGTCGGAGGCTACGTAAACAGCGTCTTGGAATAGCCCGAGGGCCTCGCGGACTACTACGGGTATTCTTGGAAGCAGTTTACGTCCGTTGCGGCAATGGGCGCATTTTGCGGTCGGTAGAAGAAAAACAAAGTACGACGCGGGCGTAGAGTTCTCGCGCCGCCTTAACTGGAACGTGGGATGGAGGGTGGGGGGAAAGCCTCCCGGGCGACGTAACATTCTTTGCGTCGTTAGCCGGCCCACTATTGCGAAGATGCGCCGTGTGCGTAACGCATTCTGTTTGGAGAATAGGATTTTGCTGGGTTTCGACCGCGGGACGGAACTCAGGCCTGTCAGTGCAAGTTTCTCTGCAGAGACAATAACTGTCGCCCATATTGTAGTCCTCAAGCATCGGTGCCTTTAGGTGTCAGAACCTCAGGAGGAACTTTAGCGGCTCTGGCTGGCTCTCCTGGATGGCCCTGCCGGCTCTCTGGCCCTTTCGCCCTCGCACTGTCGAGACTGGCCGCGCGTCCCGGTGTCATTTCCTTTCGGTTGCCCCGTTGCGATGTCGCCGGCAGCCATGATGGATGGCGCCCTGTCCGTTCCTTCGGGAGTTGATCCGGCGACGATGGCCCAGCTGGATTAAAGCACTCTCTGCTACACTTGAGTCACATCGAAGTGCATTTTCTGAACAGAGTATTTACACTGCTGAGCACAGTTGGTTAACAAAGAACCAAAATGTGGGTGGAGCTCCTTTTAAAGTAGATGCCGCTGTCCCCTGCTTGCCATTAAACGGCGCTGCCGCAGGAGGCCCGAGGCAGGAGTTTGTCGCTCTCCAGGGATTAGGTGGTCTGCAGACACAGATACTCGGTGAAGACAGAAGGACACGTTTCTAACCAGGCGAGGACGCGTTCTCTCAGTTCCCTCTAAGCTGACTTAGCTCCCTACCTGCTTCCTTTTCCCTCAAACTACATTTTAAGGCCTTACAAGCTTGGCCAGATAGCATCATGGAATTTTTGAGCTGCTAGGGCCCTTGGAGAGAAGCTCACCTAACGTCTTCTGTTTATGCAGATGTATATAAAGGGGGAGATGGAGGTCCCTGAGTGGTGTCTGTTCCGTTTCCCACGTTATTACAAAAGGACCATAAGGAAAGTCACTTCATGACAAACCGTTCTCATGTCTCTTGGGCCATACTGAACAAATGAGTTCCTGCACTCACGGAGTTTACACTCTAGTGGGGGAAATAAGACAGTAAAAGTTTATGTCAGGAAGTTGCTGACTAAAATAACAGGGAAGAGAAGGCAGGGAAAAGAGAATGTATGTACATGTGGAGGGCGGGAGTGTACTGGTGACCCAGTGTTACATAGGGTGTCCTGGAAAACCCTCCCCATCAAGTGACCTTTGAGCAGAGACCTAACTTAGAATGAAAAGTTTAGTTACCTAAAATACATTTTCATGATTTTCTTAGGGGGCACTATTTGGAGACCACTAATCTAAAGAGATGAACCCAGACCGGGTAGAGTCAGAGGTAGCTGCAGAGCCATGCTCCATACAAAGCGGATGGTTCACTGTCCTGTCAGTCGTTGCCTGGCGGAAAATTTAGGCCCAGAGTTGTTCAATCATTGACTCTAATCGAATGTGGCTTCTACATTAGAGAGACATACAAGAATGGAAGCTCCACTTACTAAGTACTTTTCAGCTTTACTGTTCTGTGCAAGTCTCTTGCTTTAAACTGTTCTATGGTCCTTTCTAAGGATCCAGCTTTAGCTCCATAGTCTGACATTCAAGACCTTCCAAATTCTGGTCCTAACCTTCCATAACTCCGTGCTTCAACAAATCTCCTCTATTCTCTATTCTTCACCCACAATTTTTTTCTTTTTTTGGCCAACTTTTGTAATTTTTGTTAATCCCTCTCTGTGCATGCAAACAGAAAAACTCAAGGTCCACTCTGCCCCCTCCCTGACTTGGAACCTTCGGGAAGTGATCTGTTCTTTCAGGTAGCATTAATCACACCTGAAGACAATCTTTTTTCTGTTCTCTTTATAGATAATGGGGGCGGCTCTTCGGTTCCTCTCCTCAACACATAGTATAGAAGCAAGCTCAGGAAGAACAGAGTTCAGACTACACAGCTCACTAGAAGTGAAATAGAGACAGAGTGACTGACAAACCTAGAGATTAATAGTGTTAATGCATCTTAAATACTCTAAATGAGAAAGGAGATTGTAATTAACATGTGACAAATGCTTGGCGCTTGTCTTTTGGAATGCAAGGGATGATAACATCCATCCTGCCCTTTGCTCAGCAATTAGACCTTTCTATTTGGGTAAAAAAAGAAAAATTTTTTGGTGACAAAAAAAATTGTTCTGATTCCCTAGCAGCCATCTATGTTAAGGGATACAAATAGCTGAAGGCTCTTTGGTTTAATATAAATGAATTTAAAAACAATGCTAAATGATGGGTATGGGAGTGTAAAATCTGAGAAGATAGATGGCCAAAGATCTTTGCATGAGGGAAGTGGGGAGGAGGCAATAAGGCAATTATTTTACCTTCAGTAAAATCAGTAATTCTCACTTGTGCTTAGTAGAGGGTGTTTGTTTAATGGAGGTGCCATTAAAAGCTATGGAGTGCTCAGTTCCACTTCAAGATGGATGCCAGTTAAGAACAGAGACTGCCAGTGGGGATGCAGCCACATGTGAAATAACTGGTTCTAGGTCCGAAGAGAAAATTCAGAGATGTTCCAGTAGGTTGTAAGGCACAGGGATGGACTTTTCTTTAGATTCCTGGTTCCCCAAATTCCCTGTTACGCCTCACCCTTACCCACCCCCAGCCCCCATGCTTACTGTTGCAAAGAAGGCTGCAGCCAATCCCAGGGTTTTCAGCAGTTGAAGTCCAGATACATCTGACATTACTGGTTCTGCCTTGCTTGCTGGGGTAGAAAGTCATCACAGGCTTGGACTAACCAAAGTAAGTGACCAAGGCCATTTTAGCAGCAGCTTTTCAGTTCTGGGGAAACCATAAAACTGACCCAAGCCAACTGCTGTGGCCAAGGACCGTCTGCCATGTTACCTGCTGGGCCCTACTCTCTGAGCTCCTCTTCTGGCTCTGGCTCAAGAGATAAAGATCAGACTTGCCAGAGCTGTACTATGACTGCTGGTGCTTGGGAGGCCCTAACAGTCTCCTGAACTGCAGCAGGCCTTGTCTTTGCTGGGGAATACAAACCTGAAGAACAGGTGATTGAGGTTCTTGATTTGCTTTTGACAAACATAAAAAGGAAAAGTCAGCCTTCATAGGCTGGAGGGGAGTGAGTAAGTATATGCTAAAATCAAGACCAAATTCCTTAGTAGCTGAGCAGGAGTTAGAGGGATGGGTTTGTGTATTTTTAATAGATTCCTCTGTGTTCCCCCCAACAGATATGGGGATTTGATCAGATATGGAGCAGAGTGAAGATATGAAGCCACAGGAAATTTGGTAATGTCCTGCTATGGAATAGAACAGAAAGGAGAACTGACAACAAAGTATATAAAATTATGTTACAGTCAGTTACACTTTAGAGATACATAGACTTAATAATGTGAAGAAAAACAGGCTGGCACCAAAAATGAGAACATAAGGACAAAGAGTGAAATCATCAGTAGGTCAGTTAAACACCAACTGCTGTCTCTAAGATAATACATAATGAGAAGGAAAGCTCTGGTATTTACATAATTTTGATTACAGAGGCAAAAATATAGTAGGATACATTGGAGGAAAACCAAATAGGATTAAGGTTATCTCCAAGTAAGGACTGTGCCAAACAAGGACACCAAGCCTAAACACACACACACACACCCTGATCTGGGGTGATTCAGACTGGTAATCAGATATGGGTAAAAATGGGGTCGAGTCAAAAGGAAGGACTTTCTGCTTTTGGATACACATGTAATTCTACGCATATATTTTGTGAATTTATTACAGTGCTACAGGTCCCTTGTTTCTCCCCAAACTGGCTCCTGCTCAGAGTAAATTAAGTCAGTGTAAACAGATTCGTGTGGCTTTACCTCCTCTACTTATTGTAGGCCAGTTATTGGATTGGGAAATGAGGGAGTTAACACCTTTGGCAATACTTAAGAGTTGGATTGGGATTGTAGGGTTCAGGACAGGCTTATTGCTCTTGCCCAAGGAGTGAAACTGCTTAGGGAAGGGGGTAGAAGAGAGGTTGGTAAAGCAGCCATCCAAGAGCTACCCAGTGTGGAGATTGCCTTGCCAAGACATGAATGTCCAGGGTGCTTGACATGCCTTAGTAGAGAGTGTTTGTTTAATGGAGGTGCCATTAAAACGCTATGGAGTGCTCAGTTCCACTTCAAGGTGGTTGCCAGTTAAGAACAGAGACTGCCAGTGGGGAAGCAGCCACATGTGAAATAACTGGCTGATTTTCCCTATAATGGCCACATCTCAGGGACTGATAGTTAATCGTTACTATATCTGTTAGTACTACATCTGTTAATTACTATATCTATAGTAACTATATCTGTTACTATATACTGACTGGTGTCTCAATATTGGCTGAATGTATGGCAGTATGCTTTATTATTTAGGGGTACATATATATGCTATGTAAGAATAAAGAAATGCATGGTAGTATTTGACAACAAATTCAATAAAGTGAATAATTCTGTGGAGGAGGAAAGAGGTTCAATCCTAGAGAATATTCAGGAGTCTTCAACTGTATTGGTAACATTTCATTTCACACATATTAATTGCATTAAATTTTATACCTTTTGTCTTAAATACTTGATAATACATTTAAAATGTACATATGTTTATAGTTCATGATGCGTGATCAAAACCGAAAGTTTCTGTGATATGACTGCCCTTGCACTGTTCACCATGTAAGAACTTATTCACTTTATGCTTCAGAAGATTGGAGACTGTTGAGAGTTAGGCTTGGGGTTAATTAATGATTGTGCGTTGAGTCCCCTATACAGAATTTTATTGTTGTTAACCATTTGATCAATAAATATGAGAGATGCCCTCTCAAAAAAAAAAAAAAGGATTCATGGTAAAAAAAAAAACGTACATATGAATGAATGAATGAGGATTAATGTAATGGGCCAGCAGAGCCCATTAATAATGCAGTTTATATCCAAGCCACCTTATTTGGATTCCATGTTCATCAAGCAGCTTCAGCTTCAGCTTCACAAGAACGTGTTCACTGAGGCAATGGGTTGTTCAGGTCAATCTTTACATCTGGTCTTATTGATACTATATTATATTCTGCAATGTCACTGGCATCCTGGTATGTTCTGCTTGGCAGCATGTGTGCTTAGTCAGACTAAGGCATCTCTCTGGAAACTAATAATGGGGCACTAGACATATTTAAGGTGAAGACTTAAAGGCCTAACTCTGAGGCATGAAACACTCACCACATGTGAGACCTCTTGGGAAAAGTCTTAACTCTCCTTCCCAGGTTGAAACCTGTCTATCTGTGACTGCCTTCAGACTTAGTCTTAAAACTATTATTTACATATTTAAATCCTGTGTTGCTACTTAACTTTCCAAGAGTTTATGTCTCAGGTCCTTGACCATACTATACGCTCTTAAAGATAAATTCTCCCTGGCCCCCAAATTGCCCAACATAGTATTCTATAAAAGACTGTTACACTGATGACCTCTAAGGAAACGCCTCCTGGTATTCAAGCTCCCTGCCTAAGTCCCCTCCCACAATGACTCTGGGTCTGGTGCATGATTTGCTTCGGCCAATGGGATGTTAGCAAGGATGAGACAAGTAGATGCTTGATAAGCACTTGCCCTCTTGGAACCCAGCTGCCATGTAAAGAAACTCAGGCTAGACTACTGAATGACGACAGCGAGACGCCCTACCCTTTCAGCCATCCCTGCCAAAGACTCCAGATAGGTGCTCAAGGCCATCTTAGACCCTCCAGCCAACCCATGAGCTGAATCCAAGTGCATGAGTGAGCTGTTTCCTTACTCTGAAAAGAATGCCTTGTCTTCTTCTAGATGTCATGTTAGAATGTGTAGGTAGAACTGCTATGGCCATCTTTTGACTATGAGGGGAGCTTTTGGAGAACAAAACCAGCACTGAGGACGGGAGAATAGAGCGAAGGAAAACCTGCTCCTCACTGTCTAAATAGATACTAGGTTTCCCCAGATCTTGGCTTCCATGTTTCTGACTGTAGCTGGTATTGAGTTCAGACTGTGTGCTGTGCATCCTAATGTTTAACCCTTGACTGTACCTGCTGTTATGGGTTTAATTGTGTCCCCCCTAAAATTCATATGTTGAAGTCCTAACCCCTAATACCTCAGAATGTGACCCCAGTTGGAAATGGGGTCATTATAAATGTAATGAGTTGAGGCATAATGGAGTAAGGTGGGCCTCCAATTCAATATGACTGGTTTTCTTATTAAAAGGAGAAATTTGGACACAAAGACACACACACAGGGAGAATGCCATATTAAGATGAAGGCAGAGATGGAGTCATTCTCCTACAAACCAAAGAGCAATAAAGATTACCAGGAAACCACCAGAAGCTAGATGAGAGGCATGGAACAGATTCTCCCTCATGGCCCTCAGAAAGAACCAAGCTTGATCTGGACTCCTAGCTTCCAGAACCGTGAGACAAGACAGTTCTGCTGTTTCAGCCATCCAGTCTGAGGCATTTTGTTAGGGCAGCCCTAGCAAATTAGTATACTAACCTTCCCAAGTAATATCCCTAATCTCTACTTAACACTTCTCCATTCCTGTTCATGATACAAACAGAATGTCAGACAACTTTGTCAACCGTCACCTGTGACGCTGTCTTTTCTTCCTCTCTTTACGTTCAATCTCACATCAAATATTCACTAGCTGCTCAAATGCCTATCCATTTCACTGCTACCACCCCAGTCCCATTATCATCTCATAGTTTAATTATTATAAGCTTACTAAATTGTCTATCTGACGCCAGTGTTATTTCCTTTATCCGTTTTGCGTGTCTCTACCAGGTTAATGCCCCAGACTCCCCACACCAACAATCTCCAGCCAGAGCTCACCTAAACTAAGGCCTGTCCTTTTCTCTTCTCTAAAGCTTTGCCATTCCTCTGCCTTCCTTTGAGGGTCTAATGAAAAGCCAATGAAGGCCACTGAAATGCTGACTTCAGCGTTGGCTAATTTCCACAGAATGACTAATCTATGGAGGAAAAAGGCATGCTTTTTCTAGTGGGTTTTCTAACTTGGTGGGGTATAAACCCAGAGCTACAAGCAGGATACTTGTCTAAGAACAATAGCAGCATGGAAATAAGCAGAGCGGGAGGAGGCAGGGAGAGCAGGTTGTAATGATGCTGTTTGAGTTCTTGGCTCCATCTGGAGCTAAAGTCAGCATTTCTTCGGGACTTTCCAGTTGCATGAGCCAATGAATTCCAGGCTTGCATCTGCTAATATGAGTTTCTATGGCTTACAACCAAAAGAATTCTCAACAAAATATCTTTTTTGAGCCCCTCTCCCCTTTTGTAACAAATAGTATTTTCAGTTTTTGAATTTTCATACAAGTTAATGCAACATAAGAGATTAAATCTTTTTGGTCTATAAAGATTGCCATAGTAAATATTATTAGTATTTTAATTTTTAAGTATTTTTATTATACATACATTTTGAAAACTAGATTTTATTTTTGTTTAACAATTAGAAAAAAGTATTCTTTTACACATTTCTAAAATTAGTATTCAGAAAATTTACATTAAATTAACTTTAATAGCTTTAAAAAGATTTTGAATTCTCTATCCCAAACTTAAAATACAAAAGTCATAGTACATTTATTTCTGAAAATTGTAAAGTTTCAAAATTGTAATGTTCCTAATTTACCTTCCTTTTTTATCTTCCCAATATCTTCCCAATAAAATGTTTGTTGTCAGAAATACATTTTTAAGAGTGATTTCAGCTTGTCAAAAAGTCAAATGATGTAAAATTTAGCTTAATTTAATGTTTCTTTTCTGTAAAAGTTTCTTTACTATAAAAGTGGATGTACATTTTGATATTTTAAGTATAAAAAGCTTTTTTGTGTGTCCATAAACATTCCTTCCTTGAACTCTTCCCTCCTTTGGAAGTGTACCCCCCTCTGTAAGTGCTCAAGGGGAGACTGCAGGAAACTGGGACATTTCTGAGCTCTTAGACTTTCCATCTGTTTAGTGGCTCTCTTGGCTAAAGTGAGGGAATCAGGTATCCCTTCCCCAACTAGTTTTTAATAGGTTTATTTACACCCACCCACCCACACACACACACATTTTTTCTGAATTGACATACAATGTATATTTATTATGAACCAGGGACCTTAAAGATAAATACAAGATTTAAATCTCTTTTGCTGACTTTTCTTTAGTAACATGTTAAAAAAACAAACTCTTCAAGATCTGAAATTTGAAACTGCTTTTCCATTTCTTCAGCTCATAATAAGCACTAAGAAGCAATTTGCACCGATTCACCACCTACTCCTTGGCATCCCCAATTCCTCCAGCAGTTATTGCGAAGGTGGCTTCATTTTCAGGCATCTCAGGACTAACAGAACACAAGAGAACAGAAGTTTATAAAAAGCTCCATTTCTATGAGTCATGTCACAGACATCGTACTCTTATCAGTCTGATACTCCCGAGACATCAGACTTGGTATACCTAAATGGGGACTATAGAATTTACCTACTAGTGTTATCAACCCTCACAAACATTTAATGAACTTCTATTCATAGGGTTCTGAATGTCAAGAAAAACTACCTCACACTTAGAAATAAGCAAAAGGAGTAACTGGTGTACTATCTTTCAGTGCATATTGAGCATATGCAAGTAGAGCGAACCGTCAGGGGCTTATCTGATTCTAAAGGGATATGCACTTTTTAATTGACGAGACTAACGTAGGGGAAAACAGAGACTTTGAGATTAACTATACATTACTTCAGTGGAAAAATAGGTTACCTAGGATATCCTTCTAGGTTATCCAATTCTATGAGGATTTTGTGCCTTTCACTGTCTTTGAGCTATTTTACAGCTCTGTAAGTTGTAGAAAACTATAAGTAATACAAATTATTTTTGTCCATAGAAGTGTAAATTATAAGAATGCAGTTGGTTATTGTCCTATGGATACTGACCCCAATTTTGATCAATTTATAATTCATTTGAAGGTTTCTTATTTGACTCTGTGTGGCAATTTGATTTTTCCTTTTATCTGGTTATAAAATCTTATTGGTTCCTGCATTAATTAATGAGTTTAATAAGATTCTTCACATTTCATACTTGTATGTTGGTCATGATTATATGGTCTTTAAATTTTAACTTTAATTTATTCTACAACTCTGTAGCAGAGGTTAATTTGTAGAAAGCTGATGGCAATGCAGATAATTCTTATCCGAGAGCAATGCACATGATTCTAGCCTATAGTAATGGAAATTAATTTCATTGTGTAGTGAAACAATTAATTCCCCTCTACTAGAAAAGACAACTTCAAATATGATTTTTTGCCTGGTAGGATATCGACCAGTTTTGCATCTATTAGCAAATTTATTTTAGCATTCCTTTGATTGACTACATAAATCTCTGTTCCTCAAATTATCCTTTGAATCAGTGATTTCCTCAATTAAGTAGCTGAATAAAATCTTTGACACATGTTCAATTTATATTTATTTGCAAAAAAGTTATGTTTTTAACTTCTTGAAAACCATACTTTAGCATGTACCAGAACCTACAGATCTTATAAAAATTAGACAGTCCTTACTATCAAGTTCAACAGATGAGCTAAGACATATTGACAAATATACAAAGTAAGCTTTGTAAAGTCCGTATGTATATTATAGAAAGCTAACATTAGAAAGGAGATAGAAAGGAAACATGCTGGCTAGGTTGATTAGGAAAGGCTTCATAGAAAATATCTGAAGAGGCCTGTGAGACAGAAGTGGGGGTACTCAAGGTAGAGTTAACAGCATGAACAGAAAAATGAAAACAGAGAAGCTTGTTTTGTGTATAAGAAAGAGGAGAAGAAAAAGAAGTTAGGGATGGATGTTGTGTTTGAGGAACCCGTGGGATATTCATGTAGAGGAGTTCTGCAAGCAGTTGTAAATGAATATTTAAAACTTGAGTGAAAGGTTAGAGTAGGAATAGAAATTTGAAAACCACTGACCATGAGAGAAAGAGCCTACTGCTACTTTATGCTTTATTACATCCAGGTTATGGTGGCTGTATAGTAATAATAGCTTCCATTAATTACTTACTAATTACTGTGTGTCTGGCACCCTTATATTATTTCATTTAAACTTTATGATAACCCTGTTGGGTGTGTATTATCATTCACATTTTACAGATGAGAAGATTGAGGTTAAGAGAGAATTTGCCCAAGGTCACATTGCTGGTAAGTGAAGATGCCAGGATTAGAGACTAAGGTATTTGACTCCAAAGCTCATGTTCTTAAACCAGTAGCCTATACTGCCTTTCAAAGTTGTTTTTTGTGTTTTGATTTTTGTTTTGTTGGAAGGGTGGAGATTAGACCATATACTTTGAGCACACTATAGGAAAGGTACTTCCCTTAGGAAATAGCAGAAGGGTCTTCCCTGAGAATAGCAAATGAATTATAAGTAAAGTAGGTCTTGCTAAACTAAACCTGGAGTTGAGTAAGGCCTGAGCAGGATTAGAAAATAACCTTTTGGCCTTGATGGAAAATACTCAGCCACATACAAAAAGACAAGATGCTGAGAAAGTGGGAAGCCAAGCCAGGGATCTACAAAATTGAACCAGGGATTTTGTTATGTTTTGCTTTGGTTTGTTTTGGTTCTAGAAACAGAATCAAAAACAATTCAGAAACTCAACCATTTGTATGCCTTTTCATTTTTTGGTAATTTTTTAAAAATCTGTTTTTCCTTTGAATTACCTAGAGTTCTTGGTTTTTTATGTCCACTGATCTCAGATATGCTAAGTGGAATGAAATAAATGGGGTTTTTATGCACTCAAACATTTTTAAAGACACTTGAGGGCCAGCTATAGTTACTTTTGGGAGCAGTAACTATAGTGACATTCAGGGAAAAGCCTGGGTTCCTTTCTGTACAAGTCACTCTGTGTACCTGGCAATTCTTTTTTTATTGAAGTATAATTGACATAAAATATCCTATTAGTTTCAGTTGTGCATCATAGTGGTTCAGTATTTTTATACAAAATGATCCCCACAAAGTTTAGTTACCATCTGTTAACCATATAAAGTGATTATAATATTATTGACTATATTCTCTATGCTGCACATTACATCCCATGACTTATTTATTTCACAATTGGAAGTTTGTACCTCTTACTCCCCTTCATCTATTTCACCAGACCCCCAAGCTTTTCCCCACTCTGGTAACCAACAGTTTGTTTCCTGTATCTATGAGTCTGTTTCTGTTTTTTTTGTGTGTGTCCATTTGTTTTGCTTATTAGATTCCACATATAAGTGAAGTCATAGGGTATTTGTCTTTCTCTTTCTGACTTACTTCACTTAGCATAATACCATCTAGGTCCATCCATGTTGTCTCAAGTGGTAAGATTTCATCCTTTTTTATGCCTAATATTCCACTGTATATACCTATATCTATACATCTATATCTATCTACATATAGATAGATAGATCTTTATTGTCCATTCAACTACTGATGGACACTTAGGTTTCCATATCTTGGCTATTGTAAATAATGCTGCAATGAACATAATGGCACATGCACCTCTTTGAACTGCTGTTTTTGTTTTCTTCAGTTTAAATACCCAGAAGTGGGATTTCCAGATCATATGATAGTTCTATTTTTAATTGTTTGAGGAATCTTCATACTGTTTTCCATATTGGCTGCACCAATTTACATTCCCACTAACAGTGTATAAGAGCTCCCTTTTCTCCACATCTTCACCAACACTGTTGTTTTTTGTCCTATTGATAAGAGCCAACCTGGAAGAATTAATATTGTCAAAATGGCCATCCTGCCTAAAGCAATCTACAGATTCAATGCAATTCCTATCAAAATACCAATAGCATTCTTCAACAAAATAGAGAAAATTGTTCTAAAATTCCTATGGAACCACAAAAGACCCCAAATAGCCAGAGCAATCCTGAGAAGGAAGAATAAAGCTGGGGGGATTATGCTCCCCAACTTCAAGCTCTACTACAAAGCCACAGTGATCAAGACAATTTGGTACTGGCACAAGAACAGACCCATAGACAAATGGAATAGAGAGCCCTGATACAAACCCAACCATATGTCATCAATTAATATATA